TCATCTACTTCTTACTTTCTTTTTATTCTTTTATATCATTCATTCTCTTCTTTTTCAATTATTTGCTTTTTTTCGTTGCCAATTTAAATAAATGATAAATAAACAGTACTATTTCAATATCTAATAAAAAATAATAAGCACTCTGAGATAGAGTAATACTAGTTATTCAAAAATATTATTATTTAACGAAATAGTTTTATATCAATTAAAACATTCAAATTCAAACAACACACAATATAATATATTCAAAGAATGAATAAATAACGAAGTTTTAAACAAAAATAATATTAAAATAAGAAAGGTTAATAAAAGAACTAACAAACAAAAAAGAGAATATCAATTGTATAAGGACAACATAAGAAAAGTGTAAATTGAGAAAAAGAAATGATATAAACTTTATTATGCAATATATTACCAGAGATTTATTAATAAAAGTGAATTAAAACTTGAATTTAATACTAAACGAGAAACTAACTTTATAATCTCATTTTTTTTAATTTTAACATAACCATTTCAAAGGAAATAAAACAAATATATCATTTACTAGCATTTACTAATATGAAGAAAAAATAATTTTCATAAACCAATAGTTAATACGTTTTTATAGTACTTAATATAGAATAAACAGGATAATGAATGATGTTTGGCATTAAGCTAAAAATATACAATGTTTATAAAGTTACATCCTTGTATAAATATTCATACACAAATAGATGATGAATATTTACGTATAAAAAGGTTATTAAATTATGTAAAATAATTTAGAATATTATATATTCCAAATATACATAATGGAATATTTTTGTAACACCCTGTTGTTATATTCACGACATCTAGAAAATGTAATTACTAAATGGGTTATTGTAGTATACTCAAAAATAATTTTGAAAGAGAAAAAAGTTTATTACCTAGAGTTTTCTTTAATACCATATCAGTTATTTCTCTATTCTGTCAATTCCAATCCCTCTTTTTTGTGTCTGTAATGTTATTTGGAATCTGGGCTATTTTTACTTGTTCGACACTCTATTTATCTGGTGAACTATATAATATTGTGTTATTGATTTATGGATCTCCTCTAATGTTTTTACTTGTTTATAGATTTATTTTATTTTCAGTTAGTTATATAAGTTCTTCATTCAGCTATTTTATTAAAGTTGGTACTAGTATAAATCCTGAAGATAATTGTTCTAAACAGTTCAAAGATATTTTGAATAAAGAAACTGAAAATAAATGGCATATGATAATACATAATATTGGTATTATTATAGCTGTTGTTGGTGTTGTTGTTGGATTAGTCGTATATTTAGTCGTAGAAATGGTTTATATCTTTAATGGCAAAAAGAATGGACATAGAGCACCATCTTTTCTCGGAACTATGGGGATTTCTTATTTGATAATAGGTGGACTAATTCAATTAGTAACCTTTTTTTTAAAGATTATACTTGACTGCGTACAACAATGTAAAGCCATTCAAAAAGCATCTTTTAATGATAAGGAATATACTTTTTTCTTTTGCTTTTTAAAGTTTATTCCATGCTATTCAATTTTGGGATGCATATGTTCAATAATATGTGACTATTGCACAAAAACTAATTCTGGTAATAATACAAAATCCTCAAATTGTCAATGGATATTTGTTGTTGTCATAACTTTAATATCTATCATTCTACTTGTTGCATTTTTTGCATTTTATATATGGGCTATTATTGATACATGGAAAGATTCAAATAAATTGTTGTTATATGTCATATTATTTTTATTGTCAATACTTTCTAATGGAGTTTCTGTAATCAAAGAATTAAGAAATAGGAAAGAAGAAAAAACGAATTTTAAGAAAGTAAGTGATGAACCTGATTCATGGTTTGGTTTCGATTATAATAGTAGTATTATACTTCTAATTGTATTGATAGTTATTGTAATTATCACTATTTTTGTGATTGTTGGAATGGTTTATATTCTACCGAAAATAAAAACTAAATTCAAAGGAGATAATACTAAAAAGGGTATCAAAAATTATGAATCTTCTTTTTATTTAGCACAAGAATTAAATGGATTTATTGACGGTATTTCATATGATTATTTCTTCGATGAATATTATTACCAACAACCGAGTAAAATTACAAATAATACTCGTGGTCATTCACATTTATGTTCGAATGATCCATATGGCATTACACCAGCAGAGTATGGTTATTTTAGTTATTTAGCATATAATAAACCTGTAATAAAATTACAAAAACAATATCAAGGAAATTTCTTGAAAAAAGACAATGAGTTAGTTTTTTATAAAGAAAATGATGAAAACGAAAAAAATAAATATGAGTTACTTTCTCAATACCTTAAAGACAAAGGCTGGTCTTTTCAGTACCATAATAAAAATGGACTATATTATATAATAGGAACTAAAGTTTGTAAAGAAGAAAAAACAGATAAGGAACAGAATAAAGTCAAAGTGATTGCTTTTAAAGGAACAAATTCATTCGGTGATGGTCTTTATGACATTCAATTGTTTGCCGAATCTGCATTTCCAACTATATCAGTTACAGTATTTCCAGTATTTACAAAACAGACTCTTTCAAGAATAAGTTATGGATTATCATTTTTTGGAACAAAAGCATTCGAAAAAGATGAGCCAACACTCTTAGGAACAGCAAAGAAAATAGTGAAAGAAGAAATGAAAGATGGAATCCCTCTTGTAGTTACTGGTCATTCACTTGGAGGAGGGATTGCGAATATAGTTGGAACAGAGTATGGATTATCAAGTTTTGGAATATCCCCTCCTGGGACATTTTTGGGTTCAAAAGGATTAGGACTAAAGAAAAAGGATGTCACTGTACTTGAAAGGGCTGTTATACCTGATAGAGATCCTGTTGCTGCTCTAGGAATAGATGGAGGGTTACAAATCAGAATACCATGCAATGCAAATTCATTGAAGTGTCATGCCATACACAATTCAGTTTGTATGATTGGTGAGTTGTGTATCGATAAAAGCATGATAAAGTTATGTAATGAAACGTGGATGAGTTGGGGGTTTGACATTTCAAAGACATAATTGAGAGATAAGTATAACATCATTAAATTTAAAAGAATAAAGGTATAAAAAGAGTTAAACAAAAATAATTAGTTAGTTATGATAATAAAACTATTTAATTTTTATATTCATTGAGAATTAGTTTCATCCTTTTGTACTACTTTTTTTTCTTCTTTCTATCTAATGAGTTTCTTTTTCATTCTTTCTCGTATTTATTTTCTTTTAATTGATATTTATGTATGTTTATTAAAAAAATTCATTAGAGAAATAAAAATATATATTGTAAGACGATTTAAATAACATAAAAATGTTGATAATAGAAGAACGAATCAGAAATAAATATTATCATAATTGTTATCATCATACCAGTTACACAAGTTATGTTAATTATTTTCTTCTCATTTTAATAATTTCATTATCACAGTTATTTTAACAATTTAATAAACACATTGTATATACTATAATAGAAAATAATCCTTGTAACAGTAAAAAATAGTCAAAAATATACATAAAAACAAAGTAATATAAAAATGATAATATAAAACAAATGGATAAACAAATGTTTTCGAAGAAAATAATATTATTTTAACAGAGAATATTAATAGTACTAATAGAAGTACTAGATAGAAAAATAGTAAAATATTATATTAATATTAAAAAATGATACATAATTAAACATTTTAAAACGTATCAATTGTTTGAATAATAAAAAGTTATGAAATAATTAGAAGATAACAAGATATAACAATTATTGTAATGAATATAAATATGTATCTATTAATGCAACGTATTTACCTATTCTGGTATTTTTATTCTTATAATTTTTATAATTTTAATTTAATTCTTTCTTTTATATTGTAATATTTCATGACACTGTCTTAAATTCTATTTAAATTCTTTCATTACTAATATTATTTATTCAAGTACATTATTCAATATATATTTCATTTATCATTATTTTCATTTATATATGATATGTAATTGTATCAATTCAACATATTATTGATGATATTAAAACTATTTTTAAGTTTTTATCTGAACAGAGAAATAAATTACTTAAAATCAAAGATATAATGATGAATAATAAATAGTGAATTTATATTGCATAATGATACATAAATTTTTTAAAGAATAAACAAATAAATGATATTAATAAAAGAAGATGAAAAATTGAATGAAACAGAATATAAAAATAAGAGATACTCAACAAAAAATAATTTCCAAAAAACGTCTAAACAAAGAAAAGAGAAAAATAAATTGATATTATTAGAACAATCATATTTCATGTAAAAGTGTGTTTATTGATTTATTCAATAGACTCCATTTCTCTTAAAATAGTTATGTTTAAATAAACACAATGAATCAACATTTAATTTATTAACATACAAGAACAAAGAAATATGTAAAGTGATGTTAATAATATTAAAACTAGGATTGTTATGTTGAGTTACTGTTTGACTTATTAGTTGATATACATGTGATAAATTTCATTTATAACATCTTCAAATATAATTTCTTTCTTTATCTTTTTATCTGTTGTAATGATATTATATAATACCATGCCAAATTATTATTCTGAATTATGAATAACACTCCATTTCTAAAATGATTTTTAGAATCAGTTTTATATTTATAACTTCATTGTAATACGTTGTAATAAAAGTGTATTTCTATTATATAGAAATAATAAAACACAGTTATTTTCTCAATGATATGAATAATAGTATTAATTATTTTTCTGATCAAATAGTATATCTTTTAAGTTATCATTTTGAATACTATTTAATACTCATTGAACAATTTGATATTCTTAATAAGAAAATAGTATTTTCTAACAATTTTAAGTTAATATCAATTACATCAATAAAAAAAGAAGAAAATAAGTAACTTAAACAATTAAATAAAAATTATTCAAATGAATATAATAAAGAAGATATAATTCAATCAAAATAAAACAGTCGGATGATTATAAAAATACTTCTTGAAATCTATTTTTATATTTTTAAATCAAAGTATTTTAAAATCAATTTAAGTTTTTATAAAAATGAATAAAAAAATGGAATTTTCAAATAAAATTGATGATGAATTTTTTCTTTTCAATGAACTTACTGTTCATTTGCAGTAATTTATTATGAATAATAATATCAGAAAAGTCTTTTTATCAATTGTGTTTTCTTTCCTTGTTGTTATGTATATGTTCTTTCTATCCATTCCAATACTTCATTTAATCTCATTAATTTCAACCAAAACAATTTCTAAAGAAGAATTATGTAATAAATACACATGGGCTAGAAGAATTTCATTAATACTAGGAATTACTTATGGATTAGGAATAATGGTAATTCCAAAATTAAGAAGATGTGCTTTATATTCTGCTTCTATTATGATATTCACTTTAAACATGATTCCCTTTTTATTAATTATTGATTGCATTGGACTTATTCTTATTCAATTCTATTCATTACCATCTTCTTTTTTCATATCATTTATTACAGCAAATTATCTTCCAAATTATTACAGAGTCTCAATGTTTCTTTTTGTTATTATTGGTTCATTATTGGTTGATGCTTATTCACTTTGGAAAGGACATAGATTAGAGTATCGTCGTTTTACTTTCCATTCATCTAAAATATCAAAAGAATTTTCGTTTGTTCATATCAGTGATATTCACATTGGAAGTAGATTTCTCTCTCATTCTCAGGAGATTGTTAATAAAATCATTCCTCTTCATCCTAACTTTGTTGTCATCACTGGAGATTTAACTGATTCACCAAATATTCAAATAGAAGAATTAATGCCATTCAAGTCATTAACATCACAATGTCCAGTTTATTTATCCACTGGAAATCACGATTATATCACTGGTATTGAATATCTTAAACCTATGTTAACAACTTGTGGTATTATTTTATTGGAAAATACATTAGTAATAGAGGAAGAACTTCAATGTTCTATCATTGGAACTAATGATGCTCAATCAGAAAAGAAGTATATTAATGAAATGAATAAGGTTTCAAATGAAGTTAATGCTAATACATTTAATATTATATTACAACATCGTCCTCATGGATATCAACAAACATGTGAGAAAGGAATATATGATTTAATGTTATCAGGACATACTCACGTAGGTCAATTTGCACCATTTAATATTCTTGTTTATTTATTCTTTAAAAAAGCATATGGACTTTATACAATCAAATCAAAAGATAATAAACAACAAATGTATCTTTACACACATCCAGGTACTGGTGCATGGGGACCTCATATGAGAAGTGCAGGAACAAATGACATTACAATCTTTCATATTAAACCATAAAGTATTTATAACCAAAAATTAAATAATTTTTTTATTTGTCTTTTACTTCTTTTATAATATCATTAGAATGAGCCAATGAAAAAGGAGAAAAAACATTCCATCCACTTCCCATTAATTCTTCAATATTGTTCCAAATACCATTATTATAAGATGGAAATGGATATTTATGATATAAAAAATAATTATATCTTTCATTTTCAATAGATTCCATAGTAGTTTGGTTCTTAATAATATTTAAAGTATATAAATAGCAAAGATGTACTAAAATAAATGAATAACAAATGAACAACATAATAATAATAAAATAACAAACATAATGATATAAATAATGCAATAACAATCACTAAAAGAAAAATATCAATTAAATAATTACAAATAAATAAAAATGGTAAAAATTGATTTAATAAAATGAGAGTAATATATAAACTTGTATCTTTAATTATACTCCATATTAATATAATTATTCCAAAAAATATTGAAATGACTATATAATAGAGAAATAATATAAAAAATTTATAATTATTTCTTCCTATACAATTACCAACCCAACTACAATGATGATCTTTCATATCAATACATCGTTTACATTTTTTACAATGATACATTCTTTCTTTTTTAATTTTTTGACATTTATTACAATATCGTACTGGATATCCAATATCAACACAAAACATGTGATGTTGTTTTGCATATTCACTTCTTTCTTTTGCCTCTTTAATTTCTTGTTCATTTTCTTTATATATTATATTTGATCCATCTCCTGGATCAGTGAAATGAACTT